AGTGTAGAGCAGTATCTACCACCCATTCTGACTATTTTGCTTTCCAGATCATAGCAGAGCGCCAGAAACTGTTTGACGAACGTCGTGAGCAGGAGAAAGAATTGCGAGCGCTGCAAAGGAAGAAGGCGCTAATACAATACGTAAGCTCTCGCTTTTTAAAATTTCTACATTCTCATCGCTTGTCTCGAGGTTCCTATCCTTTTCTTCCATTTTTTTAACCTTACAACCCAATGATTTCCGATTATCTAATAGGTTAAATTAAGGCAGAGGCGAAGAAGGAACATTACAAACTGCTGCGCAACTTCATACAAACACAAACCAAGCCTACACTGTTTTTCGTGCCTGCCAAGCATTCTCTACGTTCTCTCGAGCTCCTCAAGGCATCCGAAAAAGCCATTGACGGTGAGTTTTGAGGTTTTTTTTCTTGTGAGCATGCTACTGCATAACAGCCCACCGGCAGTTGTAGATGACTCTATCTTTCCTTTAGTTTAGGTAATGAAGAGATTGATGATATTACAACATCCGCCTTTTACAGTTTCTCAACATGATGCTGGGGCAAATTGGACGAGTTGCTAATTTAGAGAGCAAAAGGAGATTGGCCACGACCTTGGGTTGTGATGCTAGCATGGCTTTTCATCAAAAATATGTGGCTAGTAGAATAGAGTAAAACGGAGCTACATCCTGTTTGGAATAGGGCAGAGAAGTGGAGTCTTTTTCATTAGATGCCCCTACTCGTATCTTTCGAATCCGAACTTTTTTGAATTCATTTCGCGATAGTAAAAGTATTGAATAATTTTCAGTATTTGCGAGCGATGTTGACGGAAAATGGTTTATGTTTATTGCTGGATGCTCCAGGCATTTCTAAAAGTTTTCTCGAGTTGTCCGTTTTTAGAACTTTTGAAATGGCTGTGGTTTAAGAAAATCTACATATCTCCATGTATTAAATGTATTTCCTTTACTTGCGCTTTCTAGGCCTTATGGAACTTCGACAAAAGGAGCTGGAACGTGAGCTTGAAAATGGTGTAGAAGAAGAGCATGATCAGGACCACAATACATCTGGTACAAACGACGTTGAAGCCAGTGTTTCGAAAGAGAGCGGCTCAGTAAAGCGACGTCGTGACCGCAGTTATTCGCGTAGTGGTGATGAAGATGACAATGAAAAGAGTCCTGACGCGAGTGCCGATCCTGAGAAGAGCGCTGACCCTGAGGGGGTTCCCGAGAACAACAACGACGACGATGTCGCAATGGGTGAGGAGGAAAGAATCCAGCCAGAGGAACAAGCAATGGATAAGGAAGAGGAGTAAGGCAACGCGGTGAGTCTTTTATATGTTTAATAGGCCGTTCTCCAACAGGTTTTTCTTTATCGTACTTCGGGGCAATGCCGTAGTGGTTGTAGTGCTGCCGAGGCAGTACTGACTCCACTTGGCAGAATTTTCTTACTTCCATACTTTTGGTTTTCACTGAACAGTTTTGTCCGAAGTCTTTTCGTCTGATCGTTCTCAATAAACCTACATTACTCCTTTTTTGTCTTTGAATTTTGTAGAGTGAGTTAGGGTGATGTATGCCCCTCTTGTTTTTGTTTACCCCGGGAAATCCGTTTTCCAACTTTTCCACCTTGTATTTATGCAATGTTGTTTGCTTTTTGTTAGCATATGTGGAGTGTCGTTGAGATAAAGGTTTATAATAAATTATCGACATCATCAATAGATTTGACACACTAATCAACATAATCTGAAACTTATCACAATATTAATGCTTGAAGCAAAATAATAGTTAATTATGCACATCTGGTAACGAGATATCAATATAAAGGCCAGTTTGTGGGAGATCACTGATAATACCATGTCTATAATGTGGGATACTGTTGACGTTCATAGTAAGGGAGGTAGTAGAAGGGTTGAATAGTCCTTCCAATCCAATGTATTTAGGGTAGTAGTTCACTAGGACTAGGGGTTGGTCCGCAATGAAGAGCCCCTCACTGGTTGTAGTCCACTGGGAGTCTGCTCTGCCTAACCTCGCCCCCTTTCCTAGACGGGCTACCCCCTCTATCTGGGTTGTGCTTTGGTCAAGTTCCTCATGGAGCTTTATGATCACTTTCTATAACCGGGGACCAAGGGAAAAGGACGAGAACAAAGCTTATTTGAGCACTATGGCACACAGGGGTTTCTGTATCGAAAATTTGTTTTATTGAGGGTCAGGAAAATCGCTAGATTGTTCATTATAAAATATCCGTTTACCGTTTTAGTAACAATTAATACCAGTTGATCAGCGGCTACTTGCTGTCCTACCACTTCTATTGGTAGTAGCGGCTGTAGGAGAATTGGCCTGCGGCTTCATATACAGGTACTGGGCTGCTTGTTCAATGTGTGAGATGCTGTAAACCCGTAAAAAATGGTGATGTACGGTGTATCACCTAACCCTAGATGACCGTATGTGGCGGTGAGATATGATTATTGGCATTTTGAACGAGCGGCGTATTTTCGCCGCCCTGACGGCGTGGTCCGTTTGTTCGATGTGGCTGCTGCTTCACCTGATCGACTGACAATACTCCTCTACGTTTTTTCGGCATTTTCGATCGAGCCTGTGTATGGGAGTAGAACATTGCGAAGTTTGAGACGATTACCTAGGCAAGCATTATTTCGATTCGGTGTAATTGTCAGTTAGCTTGGGCTAAACTCGATTTCCGGGCGGCATGGTTACGTTCCATTGCCTCAAGTGCCCAACCAAAAGAGTACGTGTGAGTAGTAGGATGGGACTGAGGAATGACGGGCTTGCCTTTGAGGGAGCATTCCATGCTTAGAAAAATTTCTTGTAGGGTTATAGGGTTGTATCTTGCACCAGATCACCCAGTGTTTGCCCCTCCTCATGGGTGATGGAGGAGGTCAAGATGAGGAAGAACTTTCGGTTTTTCGTTGGGGAGGGATGCGAGGGGGTAACGTAGGAATAAAGTGCCCAAGAGAAACTTACAGGTACTGGCAAGGCGATGGTAAGTACACCGGCCAATGCGCAAATAGAACCAATGAGTCGTCCGAGGTATGTATGAGGTGTAATGTCACCGTAACCAATGGTAGTCATCGTAACGATCTGTAAAATAGTCAAAACGAGTTTTGATGAATTCCTTTACGGTGTTACGGTAAAGGACTTTGTATACGGTATCACTCGAAGAGATCAGTACACTTACCGCCCACCATAATCCTATAGGAATACTTTGAAATTCATTATTTGGATTTGGTTCAACCCGTTCAGCATAGTAGACCAATGAGGCGAATACGACAACACCAAGTACAAGGAAGAAGACGAGTAACATAAGTTCCTTGGCAGAAGCTCTGTAATCCGTGAAAATAGATTGCTGTAAATGTAAAATTGTTTTTATCGCTGTCATAGGTTCAAAATAAGAATGAGGGATGTAGGAACTTTTTATCACGGATTTTTCAGGGGATGATTGGGCCAGTTGCTATTGCCGCTTGCGTGCGACCGTGGGAATTCGGGTAGTAAGCGCCATACCCGTCCTTGGACAGCTACCGATGCAACTGAGCTATAAAGCCGTGTAGAAGGAATTCTATTTGCACCTACACAAGAGTAGGATCCTTTCGACCTTACGTACACGGGGGACCCAACCCACCAGGTGCAAAGAGAAATTTATTCAATAAGGAGAAAAAGAGGATGTCATGCTGCGGTTTCAGGCCGCTATCGTTTCAGGTGGATCAGCCAGATGTGTGAAATGCAGGATACCCGAATGACATCTGGCGTGACGAAGCAGCAAACCAGATTTGACCGCATCTACTGGATCAGACCTGGCTCCCAGACCCTTCGGATTTGAATGGGATCCTATCCTATCGTGAGTAGGAGCTATGAATGAGTTTTTCAAAAAATCTGCATCTATCTCGCATAATTTAAGTAAAAATTATTTCCAATTTCTCAACGTGAGTTGAAAGGTTCAGAAGTTTAGCTGACCTGAATGTATGCATAAGAATCTTCAATCCACTATTATGATGTGTAAGCTTGAATAATCGCATAATTCGAATTATCGAG